AAAACAAAACTGTTACGACCAACACCTTTAAGGACTGTGGCATAACTCGGCATCTAATTTCTTGAGTATGACCGTTGATAGATTGAAATTGTACTGTGGACCGGTTGTCTTGGGATTATATTTGGTTAGACCTCTTATCATACTGACAAATGTCATTAAAACAACGCTAATAAAACATGCGTTACATCTGCTCGCTGAAGTATCGTATGAGTGAAGAACTGGTCAAACTTTCATCTGCATCTGTGTTTGAAATATCAATACCTTTTTGTTTTTTCTTTTAAATTCATCTAGCAATAAGTGAAGCGAAGGACAGAAATGTTCTTCCGCAATTTTTCGTTGCGTGTTCTAAGCCACATTTTCGAACGAAGCGGAAACTTTATTGAAAACGATATTTGAGAAGTAATCACGAGATTAAATCGTATATCATTATCTTACTTTGAACTTTGTGTAATATGGATTTTTTTTAAAAATTCAAACTTCATAAGATTTGAATTTTGACAAAAAGTTTATTCATAGTTGAAGGCATATGACACACTTGATTATAAATTATTTATTTAATTAATAATTACTTTAGTTTGCAGTATGAGCCAAAATGAACTTGAATCATTCGTACGTGACTAGTCGATCCTTGCTTGCCTTTAGTGCAAAATCATAGATAATGACAGACCTTCATGTCTCGGTACAATTCCTTTCTTTAGTATGTCGACACAGATGAATCAAAAACTATAAAACGCAGTGCATGCACTAAGGCACTAAGGCATGTTCCATCTCATTTCATTTTCTTGGGCAGACAAGTGAGTCAGTTAACAAGTTTTGTTAAGTTGATAAATGGAAATTGCTTGCATTAAATATCCACATGATTTCGCAATTTTGGTGCTGCATACGCATGTCTTTCCGAAATATCGAGACAAGAATGTTTAATACCTACTCTAACTTAAACTTGAAGTACCAATTTTTCTGAATTGATTTTTTTACTTACAAGGATCGCTATCCAGCAGGGGGTGAAAGTCAAACTGGAATACATAAAACGCACACCGAATCCATCAGTAAGCCCCAAAACGAAAAGCACTACGCAGTTGACTACTTGGATGTTGGAGATCACCCTCAAGTCGTTTCTGTTGAAAGTCATTTCGAGTCAGTTCAGTCACGGAGATCAAAACGCGTGCTGTTTGATCCACACACTCAAAGCGGAAATAGAAAGTCATCACGTGTATTCAAATTAGACATCTGATAAATTAAAATCACAACTGGTTTCGTCTGAGGGACCTGGGTAGGAGAATGAAGAGATATTGAAAGCGTTCTAGAGCTCATAAAGTTGAGAAGACACGAAATGCGAAAACCATAGTAACCGGTTTGTTTTCTATATTTTGTAACGTTTGCTCTAGGAAAACTTCTCATTCTAGTCGAGTGGAAGAGACGGCTGACTCGCGAAAGTTCGAGTTTCAGTGTTCACGAC